ACAATAATGCCTTCTTTGTTTCTACACTGGGATTACTCTTAGTGGAGCCACAAAAACTAAAATGTTTCAGTCACAACTGTATGGAGCTTTGTTTACATATATGTATATAATGTCATTACAGATTTCAATGAATGGTACCCACCAAAACATTTTGGGTAGCTTTGGTTTGTACATGGTGACTAGCCTCTTGCATTTGGTCTACCTTACTGCAGAATGTCAATGTCAGTGGGGCTTTTGAGTTGTTTTTAAAGAAAAAAAAATTAAAAATGAGTTAAATTAGAAATGCAGAAAAATGCTGCAGTACACTTGCAATAATTTGAAGATGTTTCCATTTAAAGCTTGTTTCTATTTTTCATTTTAGCTTTTATTGCTACTTTCATTCATATTCTCTGGCTTGCTTACCTTGTAGAGGAGCAACACAAAGCAGATGCAGTACAGGAGACAGGCAAAATGCAATTAAAACCACTTGATTTTGTTAGTGCTATGCAAAGCATCCCAGTAACAGCCCAGTGCTGCTCTCTACCTGTTTTTTGCCTCAACTCTGCCTCTTTCCTTGCACACCTGTCCCTGCACACACAAATGTCCCCTTTTGCAATAGACAGCTTTCAGGCAGTACAAAAATTGAAGAATTACTTAAGAGTGAATGGCAAATTGTCCTTATTATCCACATCCTTATTATAAAGGGGGCCTGTACTTTGTTTCACAATGGGTGCTATTTCCTAACAGTCTCTCTGGAAGTATCTGAATGGCAGAGTGATGATTTGGACAATATTGGGACCCCTGCTGTGGCCAGGGCCTACAGCACAAAGGGATAAAAGACAAAGCAGCCAGAGGGAAGGTCATGGTCCTCTGTCCCGCAAGGAGATTCTCTGTTCTACTGAAAGCAGAAAAGGCAAATTCAGCCATGAGCCGGGGCTCAAAATGCTTCAAGAGATCTGCTTTATCAGAAATTCCCTTCCAGCCAGGGCTGTGCGACAACGGGAGCTGTTAGAGGGACACAACCCTTGAAAGCGAAGCCTCCAGTACCGCAGCTAAGGTCAGCATTCCTGGCCTTTATCAGCAGCGGCCAGGGAAAAGGCTACTTTTTCATTCGGCAGCCTTCTCGCTGATCAAAGGGAAACTCGCTGTGAAAGGCACCTGCTTCCAGGTGCGAAGCGCAGCGTGTTGGCCACCGCCACGCGCACGCCCAGGGCTTCTCCACGGCTATCTGCACGCTTCCGAACCTACCGATGCGATTGTTTTAGCGCATCGTGAGCAGCACTGCCCAGATAAAATCTTTTTTTGGCACTGTCAGTTTAACGTGGAAGAGATCACTGCCAACAGGAATGCTGGGGGGAAAAAATCTAATTTTGTTATCGCAGGCTTACGTTTCACTGTCTTAGGAGGTGTTGTCACATGTAGACCTACTCCCAGTAACTCAAGTGTCAGAAATCTGCTACACAGCCCCCCTAAAACTGCTGTTGTGCCAGGGGCTCAGCTGTAACTCAGAATGATGACCTGAAGCACCTGCCGCTTTAGGGATTTGGGGTTTTTTTGTTTGTTTTCCTCTCTCCAGAAGGGCACATTGCAGTCATCTAACCTGGCCCTTTCTTAAACAGAAACCAGCACCTACTAACACCTCTAGCAAGCCCGTCACTGCTGCTGTTTGGGCCCTAACACAGAAGGGTTTCAGGACTCTAGATCCATTTTAAAACCACAACTGCTCAAATTGCGGCCATCCTGTGTTTGAGCAGAAGCCACAGCTGCTGTCTCGGTTTCTCCTTTTCATCCAGCAGGTGTGCAAACTGAGGAGGCACGGGCATTTGGCCTTCCTTACCTCAGCCTGCACACCAAATAGAGCACTCTCCCTCCTCTGCCAGGCCTGCCTGCACCTCCGTTCATGCAGGCTGGTATCTTCCAAATCACTTGTACTGGTCTGCAAACGACTTGCGCTCCCAGCCGTTCTCATCTCAAACCGCTTCCTTCTCAACTCATGCGCTTCAGTTCATAACCCCCCATTCCCTTTTCTATCCATTTGGCTCTCGGCCTCGGCACGGGCCTGGTCTATGAGCCGTTATCTGAAGACGATTTCACGGTGCCTGGGGCTCCAGCCCGGCCTGGCCCCGGCTCTTGTCCTCCAGCCCCTCTGCAGCTCTCCCGGCTCCCACT